TTGCACATTGATTTTGTATCCTGAGACTTTGCTGAAGTTGCTTATCAGCTTAAGGAGATTTTGGGCTGAGACAATGGGGTTTTCTAAATATACTATCATGTCATCTGCATATTCATACATTTTTACCCAATTTTTATTTTGGTAATTCATTGTTTTATTGAGTTATAAGAGAATTTATGGAGACAAATTCTTTATGAGATATATGATTTGCAAATATTTTCTCCTATTGTATGACTTGACTTTTCATTTTCTTAATGAAGAGCAGAAGTTTTTCATTTTGTTAAATTCAGTTATCAACTTTTTTTCTTATATAGATTCTGTTTCTGGTATCAAATTTAAGAAAACTTTGCCTCCTCCAAGGTCATAGAAATTTTCTCCTTTGTTTTCTTCTTGAACAAGAGTCAGCAAATTACAGCCTGTGAACCCCATCTGGCCCACAGCCTACTTTTGTAAATAAAGTTTTATTTAAACATAGCCATACTTCTGTATTTACATATTGTCTATGCCTGCTTTCTCTCTACCTGAACTTTTGCACAGTTTCTATACTGTGTCGCCCAGAAAACTTGAAATATTTAATGGCCCCTTTCAAAAAATGTTTGCTGATCCCTGTTCTAGAAGTGTTACAGTTTTAGCTCTTATAGTTCTAGGATCCAATTTTAATTAATTTTTCCGTATGATGTGAGGCAAAGAGACAAGTTCATTATTATTATTTTTATTTTGGTGTATGGATATGCAGTTTTCCTAGTACCGTTTGTTAAAAAACTCTCCTATATGTTAGAAGTTACTTGCTTCTGGCTGCTTTCAAGATTTTCTTCTTGTGTCTTGTTTTCAGCTGTTTGATTATGATGTATCTGGGTGAGGATCTCTTTGTGCTTATCATACTTTGGATTTGTTGAATTCCTTAGATCTGTAGGTTAATGTTTTTTCATGAAATGTGGAACGTTTTCAGCGTTACTTCTTCTAATATTTTTACTGTTCCCTTTCTGGAGCTCCGATTATGTACGTGCTGATATGCTTGATGTTGTTTACAAATCTCCAATGCTCTGTTCTTTTTCTCTGTTCTGATTGTTTTTTTTTTGTAATTTCACAGACTGTTTCCTATTTAATATCAAATCTGCTCTTCAGACCATCTAGTGAACTCATTTGAATTTCTCATTTCAGTTACTATTCAACTCTAAAATTTCCACTTGATTCTTTTTAATAGTTTGCATTTATTTCTTTGTTGATATTCCCTATTTTAGTTATATCATCATAACTTTGAGCATGGCTTCCTGTAATTCTTTGAATAATATTTATAACTCTTTTGAAGGTTTTGTCTGCTAAATCCAATATCTGCTCTTACTCGGATACAACTTCTGCTGGCTGCTTATTTTTCCCCCCGAATACGGGTCATAGTTGGCTGTTTCTTTCCATGACTTATAATTTTTTTTGGAACTGGACATTTTGTGTAGTATGTTATAGTAACTTTGGATTCGGTTTTTATTCATTTTTTTCCCTTGCAGGTTGTATTTATTTATTTATTTAGTAACTTTCATGGACTTCAACTGCAGAATCTGTGTCTCCCACTATGTGTGGTTTCTTATGTGTCTCCCCAGCTTTTAAAACTTTTTAATTTGTAATTTTAAGCTTGGCTTTGTAGGGTTCCCACCTGCAATTCCTGAATTTAGTGCTTAGCTAATTATTGGTTGAAGGCTATACCTAAACACCTTGAGCCAGAAAGGCTTTCACCTTCTGCTGGGAGATTGTATGGAGGCTGTGAAGGGAGGATCACTTGGGCTCAGAGATTGAAGCTAACCTGGGCAACATAGTGAGACCCTGTTTCTGATTAAAAGAAAAAATCAACTAAGTATAGTCTGTTTTCATGTTTGTTTCTTTTACTTTTTATTATGTTGTCTTAGACCTAAGACCCTGTGCATGTGCCCAAATTTTCTGTTAGCCAGGCGTGTGTGGAGAGCTAGGTCTCTCAGGTTTCTAGCTTCCCCCATGCATATGCTGCCGGTCTCTCAGTTAGACTGCATTTTGTGTGGAGCTTAGGACTTTATGGGACTCCCGTGTACATGTGTGCAGGCTCCTAGTCAGCCAGTGTTGTGTGGAGGGCATAGGCTCTCTCTTTAGGATGTGTGGAAAATTTATCAAGTCTCTCTATGGCTTTGCCATTTCCAGTGTCTTTCTATTAAGTTTCTAGCTAGTCCTCAGGTTTCTGGCTCACCTCAACAACAGCAATCTCGGACTAAGCAATCTGCAGGCTTTTCTGTTTCCTGCTGAGTGTGGGTTTTCCACTCTCTGCTCCAAGTCAAAGTCATCCGCTTTTTGCAATGAATGTGCGGATTCCTTGATGGAACTTATACTTCAGTGGAGCTAGGGTAGGGGATGGAGGTAGCTCCTGGTAAGATGCCAGATTTCCACCGTAGTTACCAGGAAGTTCTGTAGTTTTTCATTAACATGCTCTTCTCATTTTTTTTTGTTGTTGTTGTTTTGCCTTTGGTTGATTTCCATAGCACAAAGATGGTTGCTTTTGACGCTTTTATCCAGTTTTATAATTGCTTTTTGGGGGTGAGATTTTGTATTCTTTCACTGGAAGTTCAACTTCAGAACTTGGATTTTAAATCCTAGTAGTATTACTTTTCAAAGCTAAATGCTCTTTTTTCTAATTCCTGCTTATTTGTCTGTAGAGATAGAGAACAAGTAATTTTTTAAAAAGACAGATGACAGAGGGGTGGATGAATGAGCCCCAATTCAAGTCCTAGGTTTCAACAGAGAACAGAGTTTTATACCTCCTTATAGATAGATTTGCAAGCTCAAACTGAGGTTAATTGAAGGTAATTAATGGCTCTTGTGGAGAGTAGGCGTGTTGTTTATTCAGAGTGAGCCAACTATTGTGACGAAGTACCTTTCCTATAGTGTTCTTCACTTCATAACAATTTTATGAAGTAAGTATTGCAATTTTGATTCCGTATTTTACAGATACGGAAATATATTTACAATTCGGGAACTTATCTATGCTCTGAACATTTGTATGTGGTGGGGATAGCACTTGAACCCATTTCTTCTGGTTTCGCCTTGTTCTTTATACTCCGTATAACTACTTTCCAATCATATCATAATTACTCACAGACACTTTGATGATCTTAATGTATTTTTTTATGTAGGTAGTAGTTGAGGTTAGAATAATTAATTCTTTTCTTTCAATTGACAATTAGTCTTAACTAATTGAAGAGCCGGATTCAGTCAGGCAGTTATTTAGCAAACTGGTAACAGTTAGAGAAAGAGATCCTGTGGCAGCTTCCTCTGCCAGCTTCCTTTTTTTCTCTTACTCCATAGATGCAGATTCTGCCCAAGAAGCCCCTGCATTGCAGAGGGACTGGAGATCTGTATGATCTGTTTATTTCGCAATTGACAGGGTAAGGGGGCCTTACGGGGGAGGTGCTTTAGCTTTATGCAGCTGGGCTAACATTTATTTGGGGATTATTTAAACTTAGTATTTTTAAAAACTTTGATGAATTTTGTTTGTCCTGCATCAGTTAAGTGCCAGATTATCATATTAAAAAGCATTTATTATAATGGTGATTTTTTTAAAAAGGTCCTGTTAACAACAAATCAGACAAACATGGTTCATGCTTCTAAAATACCAAATCTGGGATCATTTAGAATATAAATAATATTGAATATATATAAGTAAAATTTCATGACAATAACATTTTTAAAAAATAGTTTTGAATGAACATCTGTTTCTGTAGCTCATCATATTCTTTATTAATCTACTTTGTTTCTTTTCCATAAATCTGTCAATCTGTAGAGTGAAAAAGGGACTTGTGGATATGCCATAAACATTGTGGGTGGCTGTGGTGTCTTTTTCTGCTGCTAGAAATTAATACTTACTTCCTTTAATTCTTTGTCTACCCTAGATGCCAATGAAATTTGAGTCGTATCTTCCGACTGTCTTGTATCTGATCATTAGGATAAGTGTAAAAATGCAGTTGATAAATCTTACGGGAGCCAAGATTAAGTTTTGTAGGTCTCACTTGGCAGGTTTATAGAGCAAGTGCCAGAAATGATGATTTTTATAATAGGATAGATTAAAATAGGCGAGGAAGAGTTTAATGTTCTTTTATAATCACAGAAAGATTTGGCAGATGACTGTAGCCTTGATGAGTACGTGAAAAGAGTTGAGTTGGTGCTGTTCTGATGGGCTTGTTTTTATTTTTCGAGATGTTATTATACCTGGTAGTAAAATAGCTTTGTTTACCTAAAGAAGTAATATATTTCTGTAGTTTAAATGGATATTTTTAGTATTCTGTATGACTCATATTTTTAATCGTACCCTCGTACCCTTTAAACATTTAATTTATGGATTTTAAGAATTCAACAATAATATTATGTATGTTGTCCTTACCACTATTAATACATATTCCACTTTCTAATGCCAACACATTTGGAGAACTACTTTCATTCTTAAGCATCTTAAATGACCTTTTTTTTTTTTTTTTCTGTTTTCTTTAAGCCATAAGGATGAGTTTACCATTATTCCTGTACTGGTTGGAGCTCTGAGTGAGTCAAAAGAACAGGAATTCGGAAAACTCTTCAGTAAATATCTAGCGGATCCTAGTAATCTCTTTGTGGTTTCTTCTGATTTCTGCCACTGGGGTAAGTTCTAGATTTTAACATATCATGGTAGATGTTATATACTTCTGGTTAAAGGTATCTTTTCATTCTAAGCTCTGATTTTCAATTTTTTATCACTTTCCTTGGAAAGTTTTACTTCTGGCAGCAATGTTTAAAAGTGAACAAAAAATCTTTTGATCCTTTAAAAAGGATCAGATTACAATAGTGGATTATGGGTACATTTCCAAAGGCGACTGGTATAATTGGATTCACACTGTGAAGGCATCCTTGCTTAGATACTTATGTAGTGGGAGGTAAGATCTTTTAACCTCATTTCCAAGTAGGTGTGTATGGTAGATTCTTTGAAGTTAGTTTTGGTGGATAAATCCAGTGTTCTTTAGGATATAGAAGAGCACTGTGTGTTGTGCCAGTCCTTTTCCACATTTCCTTTTTTGTAATTAGTCTTTTTTTTTCTTTTCTTTTTTCCCCTTTTGGTGCTTAGTTTTTGCCCACAATTGCCATCAGTTTAAAGCTACCCTCCAGAGATTATAACATACTGGCTATTAGCACTGTGGTCTTCATTGGTAATGCTTTATGAGGGTAAGGACTCTTGAGTGATGTTTTGATTATTGTAAGAGTAAGAATGCTTCACAGTGAATACACCATAAGACAAGTGAGCTGTTTGTGGATTCCTCTTTTAGTAAACGTTGCTTTTACGGTCTTTGGATGCAGTTTGCTTTCCTTTATCCATTACTGTCCCAGAATATTTCTAAGTTTTGTTCCTTTTAGGACATCTCTTTGACCTATTAATTTATTGGTTTAAGATGCCAATATCTGTTCATTTATCAGTTATTTCTTTGATTATAAGGAAACCTAAAATGTAAGACCATAATTTTTAAGATACAATGCTAGAATAGCCAGGAGAACATCCTCAGTGAAACATAGGAAGCCATGGCATTTTATATGTCTTACCCATTGATTGCCAGAATTAATTCAACATTTATCTGGCCTGGTTGGGCTGGTGTCTTTCTCTTGCTTCTATCTCCGAATGGCCTTTTCAAAGTTGAGATCTCAGTTCCAGAGAACTATCTTTCATAATGGTACAGATTATTTTTTTGCATAAAGTACTTATCCTCAACTGGGAGTGATTTTACTGTGAGGGGCATTTGAAAATTCCTGAAGACAGTTTTGATCACCACAACTGGGATATGGTTTGGAGGTGGCAATACTATTGGTATCTAATGAGTAGAGTCCAGGGTAGCTGCTAAATAAACATCCTACAATGGCACAGGATGGCTCCCACATCAGAGAATTACCAGGCCCAAAATGTCAGCAGTGCTGAGGTTGGAAACCCAGATTTTTAGGATATGCAGGTAGTTGTGCTTCCTTTTCAACCCCCTAGAGAAGCTCTCAGGGGTCTTCTTCTTTTTTTAAATCTGTTTTTAATATTCAAGGTTCTTTATTTACTGATTTTATTGGTTAGCTGGTTTGCTACCTTTGGCAGAAGTTACATTTTATGGATATAAGTATGCTGCTTAGATCTGAAGGCTTGGTAGATGCTTAAAAGGAGTTCCTTTCTGTGGAATTTTGGAATTTAATAAGTGATCTTGAAAACTTAAGTATCATTACTGCAAAACAGCATATTTTCCTTAATATTGTGAATTTGTGTGGGTAACAAAGCATGGCTTTATGTTTTGAAAATTAAAATTCTTGAAGCAAGTGTCCCACCCCTCCTTCATTTTTAAGACTCTTATTAATCACTTGATTTAAATAATTAGTTCCCTTGATATTATTTTTCAGAACTTGGGCTTTCTTTCTAAGTTGGCAACCTGTGCAGTCATAACATAAATTCATGTAAAACGTCAGTAAACATTTCCGTATTGCTCTTTTCTGTGGAGTCATCCTTTTTACCTCATTAATAAAGAATTCTAAAGTAAGCAAAGCCTAGTCCACTGCTATATGTAACTACAATGGCTGAGAGAGAAAAATAAATTTGTTTTACCTTCTACCTAGATTCTTAGAAAATTATTGAGGTTGTTTTGTCTCCTGATTTCTTGGAGATTTTGGTATCTAAATTGTAAGATAGGCTTTCCAGGTGATAGGTACAAAAAAGAGCTCAAAAAAATTTAAAGACTCATGAATAATAGTTGTAAGAATTATCTAGAGACTAAAACGTTTTTTATGTTTATGTTTGGTGTTTAAGTAATAGAACTTTTCAAGAGTTTATTTTTTAGTATCACCATCATTAATAATACTCATTAAATGTTTTCTTTGTGTTTATGGAAAGCACTGTGCTACTTCTTACTGAGTAATATGTTGGGGTTCTGGAGATAAGTGAAAGGTGTAACATAGATAATATTCCAAAATTGATAGTCTTTTCACTACCACAGTAATTCTTGTAAAGTAAGATACATTTTCCTCTTTTGCATGCCTACTGAAGTAATATGAATTATTGACCAGTTATGGGTTAAGCTATCTTAAGAATTAAGTTTCATGTTTCTCACATTCATACTGTAGTGGCGACGGGTATCTTTCCTAAATTAGTAAGCCTGCCATATTATCATCTCAAAAATTCAGCTTTTTCTCATGAAGATAATACTTAATGGTTTTTCTTTTTAAAGAGGTACTATACAGGTTGATTTTTATTATATAGAAGCAATCATAACACTGACTTCTAAATAATTTCATAGGAGGGATTCAGTTCCTCATGCATGCAGAGGTCTTAAACGGTTCATTGAGTTACCTCTTAACACACTCTATAAATACCTGAATTTTTTTGGAAAAAAAATTTATTATAGTACACTTGAAAAATTACTCAGCTACACACAGTGGAAGTTTCTTTGTTTTGATTATTAGATTACTGGCAGTGACTACATTGTTCATTTTTAGTCAGTGGTTCTCTTTATAATGTGCCTACCTGTTGCAGAAAGTAAAGTGAAAACCTTGGTGATAGAGACATTTCAGATTATTACGTGTAAATTGGAAGATTTTTCTTGTTGACCTTATTTGTTAGCCAATGTTCTTTATAAAAATGATCTATTTTCTTAAATGTATTTTACTTTAAAGATGTTCATCTTTCAGATGCCTTGTAGCTTTTATTTAGACTTGAAAAGAGACATTAGAGAGATAAAGGTAGACATACTGAAGTACTCTCAAGTTTTCTTTCTAGTTGAGGTAAGTCAAGGGAGAGACAGGAACCTAGATTCCATTATCCCCCTTCTTTCAGTCCCCTCATTTGAGTTCCCCAAAAAGAAACCCTGCATTTCAGTTCCTGCCTTTTATCACATCACCAGTCTTGTACATATAGAAATGCCAGATTATATTGCTCAGGCAACACTTAAAATAGTTTCACCTCATTTCATCCTTTCTGTTACTAGCAGGAAGTAGATTAAGTGAAAAGACATTTGCCACTAGTCTGTATACTTTACCGTGGTTAAATAAATTGTTCCAATACTTTTTGTGCTTTTCAAGTTCTATATCCTATAGGATGGCTCCGTATGAGAGAATTTTGTCTGGACCTATTTTAATTTTTCAATTAGTAGAATTTTCTTCTCAAGTTTCAATTTTGGCCTTCTTCATATATATGATTGATATTTGTGTTTCCATGACCTTCCTGAAATTTATATTTCTAAATTTAGATTGTTGGCAGCTTTCATTAACATAATTTTCACTTCTAAGAAGTTTCTAAATGAAATTGGATTTAGCAAAAATTGATTTTTCAAAAGTGCAGTCATGAACTGGATATGGTAGTTTGTGTCTATAGTCCCAGCTATGTGGGAGATGAGGCAGGAGGATTACTTGAATCCAGCCTGGAGAACAAGTAAGACCTCATCTCTAACAAAAAAGAAACAAAAAGTAAAAGTGGACTCATGCTTTATTTGATTTACCTTTTATGGTGGTTTTGCAAATCAGTTTAGATAAGTTTACTTGGTGAATGTTTATGACATTATATTCTTCTTTAAATATGAGTTTACTATAGTCTTTTCAGCAATTTTGAATTTTTATGCATAAATTTATATTTGTTTTGGTTTACATTACTAGCTTTTTATAAATACGTACCACTTATTAAAAGTGGCATTCCCCTAAATATTTATGAAATTTATAACATTCAGATTTCTTCTTTATTGCATATTAACGTGATTATTCATGCATACTCTTCCTTTCTGTTAGTCTCTTGGGTATAAGGCTATTGCTGTTTTCTAAATAATTAAATTGGTTTGAGTGTAAGTTAGCTAATTCTTAAAATATACCTTAACCAAGCCATCATATTTGTCTTCTCAAATATTTGTACATACAGATTTTACAGATTTAGTTTTTGACTTTTTGCAGATTTGAGATAAGGCTAATACTTATACATTATAACTAGGACTTCAGAATGAAAACATGATAGTATTTAGCTTTTAAAAGTGATTACCTTATTTGATGCTACTTAGAGAATATTTCTTTTATGAAATACATTTTTTCTTTGGTAGTGATTTCAATTATGAATATCCCCAGGTTGGATCCTTAGTATCGAATGGCCTAGTAATTGATCTCACAAGGTTGTTGTGAGGTTTAACTCAAATATTTGAAAGTGGTTTAACATATTAAAAAATGTGATTAAGTAAATGTATGACAGTATAATTTTTATTGGATATGTATCTGAAAATCTATCTTATTGACTGATCTTTTGGGGGTTTTATAGATCAACTTTCCAAGGTCATTATTTATTTTTGCAGTTCAGTGCATAGCTTAATGTTGAGGTATTTAATATTCTTTTACCTTTTGTTTTAAGGTACTTAAAAAGTAGCATTGGTTCTTGTACCATTCATTGTTATGTTTGTCCTCATTAGTTGATTGTTGTGTGTTAAACAGACATCCCTGGAGCTTATTCTCCACACTCTGTGAATCCACTCATTAATCACCAGTCACCTTTGGAGATGGGAAAATTACTTACCTGTATTTCTTTTTCTCAGAAAGCGTGCTCTGGAATGGATTCACAAATGAGCTACCCTCCTTCCCTCAAAGAGTAAGGTTTCTGCTTTACAGGATTTTTTTCTTGGGTTATTTTTCCTCTCATCTTTTGAATTTGAAAAGAACTGAGGGAAGGCACCTGAAGAAACTACTGACATACTCACTAGGGGAGTTCCAAAGCTTGTGCTGTCCCTAGGGGCAGTGTCAATGGCTCTTAAAGCTAGAATGCTCATACTTGGAATTGAAACAGGGGCTCAAAGAATCCATTTTCCCAGTGTACCTTCTGAAAGGATAAGTTTCAGGTAAGTAATTTTCTCTTACTATGTGATACGCTTTATTCATACTTATAAAAGTACAAAAGTCCAGTTCTCCAGGTACATGGGCAATTGTATTTGTTTACAGTTTAGATTCATAACCTTTACTGAATGTCAGAAACACAAAAACTTATAAAAATAAAATAAATTTGCTCATGAGATACATATAATTATGATTTATTTTAAGTCAGTAATACATTTTTAGTTAAAGGTATATTTATGGTCATTTATTGTGCTTATGCTATCATTTTCTTTATTATTAAATAAAAATTTGAGACACTTTTAAAATAATAGAAACCAAAAAATAGTATTTTAAACTCAGTTTCTGAGTGGTGATTGACTAAAGTTGTGTGTGTGTATGCACACATATGTAAATATACACATACATACAGGCTATGATGATGGCAACCATTTACTTCAAGTTAGATGCCTTCTGTATGTATATTGACCAGAATACATTCATTGTTCAAGTGATTTTTAAATATTTGTATAATTTTTAAAAATTACCATGAGACAATTTGAGCTGCTACAACTAAAATATTTATTCAGTGTAGTAGCCATATGTAGTGTGGATTTAGCTACTTAATCGAAACATTCTTTAGAGTCCTTCAAATATTTATAGTCAGTTTTTCAGTTATTAAATATGAGGTGGCTACTAAAGAGTAACAAAAAGTAGATAGCATTTACTCCCATTGGTTCTCTGTGCATTTTTGCATTCTCATTAAATCCCATGCCGATCCAGTATTTTAAAGTATTTCAAACATCTCCTCTTTTTTTCCTTCAGAAGCAGTTTTTAAGTGAAAGTTACATAGAAAATGGCGTATATGAACAAGATAGCAATTTAAAGTATAGACTTTTCACTTACTATTAAGTCTGGTTTGACCAACTTCAGCCATTTGGAACAGCAACTCTTTACTTGGAATTAAGCAGAAAAGACTTTTGAGTAGCAAATGACTATCATGAAGTGTATGCATTTTTCTCTGCACCTGGGAGTAGCAGTAGATTATGTCCCAGTCAGAAGACTTACTGATAGTAGCCAAAACTAATAGCTATTTCCAGAAGCAGGGAAGAGAGAATGTATTAGTGTAAACCTAAAGCAGTTAAGGTTCAAAGAATTGAGGTGTATACTACCTGGATTTCCTCCAAGAATATTGTTCTTACTATAGTGAGAGTGAGTCAGAATATTCTTGTCTAAGGTGTTCATTTGCTTCAGAAAGATTTTGGACAGCTTTGTCAAAATAACTTTGAAATAGAAGTAAAAATTTAGTATCAAATGAATTGAATCGATAAATTATTATAACTGCACTTTAGATTTGGCATTGAGCAGCCTTCTCACAGCCACCTGGCAATGAGAAAAATAGTGTCAGGCTGGGCACGGTGGCTCACGCCTATAATCCCAGCACTTTGGGAGGCCAAGGCAGGTGGATCACTTGAGGTCAGGAGTTTGAGACCAGCCTGGCCAACATGGTGAAACCCCGTCTTTACTAAAGATACAAAAATTAGCTGGATGTGGTGGCACATGCCTATAGTCCCAGCTACTCGGGAGATTGAGGCAGAAGAATCACTTGAACCCGTGAGGCAGAGGTTGCAGTGAGCCGAGGTTACGCCACTGCACTCCAGCCTGGGCAACAGGGTGAGACTCCGTCTTTAAAAAAAAAAAAAAAAAGAAAAAGAAAAAATAGTGTCAATTATATAGTTATTAGGTAATTCTCATTGTTAGTTATGCACGAAGTATTAATATATACATTCTTTACAGAAAAATAAAGCTATACCTAACTCTAAATTTTGAAAGAAATGTTTAATGAATTATCAGTATAGAGGCATTGAATGATAAATTATTATTGTTTTAAGAATTTTTTTTTTAGTTCAAAGACTATAGTTGATCTCATAGCTAAGGTAACATGCAGTAATCTTTATTGTTTTATTCAGGAAGCAGATATTATTTCAGACTCTATTGCCCAATCCTAGGATATCATCAGTTAAGTTATAAGATGCAATATTGATTGAATAATGGCTCTTGGGAGAGAATAAGGACTGCTACATTGAGTAATTATATTACTGTATACGAAAAGTTAAAATGTGAACAGTAAGGAAATATGACATATTTTAGAAAGATGACCATCAGAGGTGATCAGTGTCAACAAATGAATGAAGTGTTTCAGTTCTGTGATGTGTAGTTTTTCAAAAAGGACATCAAAGAGGGTTTTATAATTTTGCACTGCTCATCATTTACGTAATTTTTTTAGTAAGATGAACAGAAAACTTAAAAATCTTAATTATCCAGCTAAAGAGTTCCATGTCTTCAGGTGTGAGGGTGGTAACTGGATATATCAATATTGCTCTAAACATGAAGCACAAGACACATGATGTGTGTACATGATTTGTATACTCTTAATTCCTTTAGAAATGCATTTTGGTCAATCTTTAACATTAAGGAAATACAAAAGTAATGACTTCTTGGAAAAAAGGCACTGCTGAAAGGTAGATTTAGGTGTATCTGAAATACGTTATAGTCAGTTGAGTAACAACACTCCATAATTAGTTAAGAAAATTTTTAACTTTTGATTTTCATGTAACTAGTAGGAAACAATTTTTCTGAGACTTTTGTTTTCTGTCTTCTCTTTAAGCTTCTTTCATTTTACCCTCTCTGTTCTTTGGAGAATAGCCAAAACATTGAATGTTCTATGCTTTTACTCTTACTGAGATTTTATGTCAGGGTAGGAATATTTATTATATTTATATTATATTTACCCTTTTGTGTATTCTGTTCACATTGCATAAGGCACTTGTATTGATCCTTTTCTAAGTAGTGCAAAAATGAGATATTTTTTTAAAAATTTACTTCATAAAAATCACATAAGTTACAGTATTTGTGACCTACACTTTTTTTTTCCCTGTAATAGAGATCAAACCTTTGTACAGCAAAAGCAAAGGCTTTTAGTGATTTGTTATACCAAGATAGTTTTCTTAAACCAAATTTTCTTCAGTAATATTCTTTGGGTTTACTTTCCAATATAGACTGATAAAATGTTTAACAATGCTTCTAACTTTTAAGCTGTTTTGTTTCCTTAATCTTGTATTTCTGGTGATTTTAAGGTTTCTACAATTTGAAATAGTTCTTAACATCATAAAACATTGGTGATATCATTTCTTTATTACCTTCCCAAATATGCCTTTTATTTTTATGTACAAGGGCTCTTGGGAATGATTCTCTCAGAGGCTTAAGCTGTGCTTTGCCTTTCATGAGAACTGAAATTATTTGGTAAGCGCTTGCTTTCTTTTTAGCTTCTAATTTTTCCCTATTTTATTTTGTACATGATATTTGTTTCAAGGTCAAAGGTTCCGTTACAGTTACTATGATGAATCCCAGGGGGAGATTTATAGATCCATTGAACATCTAGATAAAATGGTAAGTCTTTCAGGTGTGGGATTTTAATGCTCTAAGGCTTTTTCTTTAATTTCAGATCAGTAATTCAAGACTTAATATGTTGAAATAATATACGTTTTTCCCTATCTTTAAATGTACAAAATGCAATGTGTCATCATATAAATATTGACTATAAGAATAATCCCTTCTAGTAGGAATTTCCATCATCATAATTTTGTTTGATTAATGAGAATATTTAAGAATAATATATACAGATTTAAAATACTTTTTAGAGAAGTACTTTAGCTTTAGGGACAATAGGATACTAATACCATCATTTACTGTTAAGCAGTAGTAACCATAGCAGATGATGGATACCTTGACTCCTATTTGTTTCAGGACTACCTGAAATATTTCTTTTGACTCCTTCTTTTGACTCCTTCTGAACAGCATTGTTGTTTCTTAAAATTTATTAAATAACTTAGTGTATTTTTAGTTTTGATAGCAGGCCAAATTACTGTTCTTAAGTGATGATGAAGATTTTATGAATTAGCTACTAAAAATACGTATTCTATGGGAGGAACTATATGTAAACTTGAAGTAAATAACCTGAAAATTATAAAGGTTTGACTGAAAGTCTTAATTTTTTAAAATTATTGCCGCTTTGCCTCTGGAAATAAAGATATCATAGCCTTATGATAACAGTGTACAGGAATTCCAATGTACACAAAATGTAGCTAACTTAAATCTTGTCTGCCATACTGAAGAGATTTATACATATACTTTATTTTAAGTTTTAAAATTTCAGGCATGTTTATTTTGTTTTGTTAATTTATTTTTATTATTTCCTTGGACCAGCAGTTTGACCTGACAGAGGCATGTTTATTTTGGAGCTACTTTTTAGAAGCTCTCAAAATGATCTAAAATTTAATGGAATTAATATTTTAAACATAATAAACTCACATCATTGACATATTTCTGTAAAATATCCTGTAAATCAGATTATTTATCTAATTTCATTTTTGTTTTGATTTGCATTTCCCATTGATCTTAAGCATGCATATTAAGACATTTATTTTTTCCTTTTTTTAAGAGGCAGGGACTCACTCCATTACTGAGGCTGGAGTGCAGTGACACATCATAGCTCCCTGCAACCTGGAATTTCTGGGCTTAAGCAATCCTCCTGTCATAGCCTCCTGAGTAGCTGGGACTATAGGCACATGCCACCATACCCAACTAATATTTATTTATTTAGAGACAAGGTCTCACTCTGTGGCCCAGGCTGGCGTGCAGTGGTGTGATTCGGCTCATTGTAGCCTCTACCTCCCAGGCTCAAGCGATTCTCCCACCTCAACCTCCCCAGTAGCTGGGGTGCCTACCAGGTGCCCACCACCAGACCCATCTGATTTTTGTATTTTTTGTAAAGACAGGGTTTCACCACGTTGCCCAGGCTGGTCTCAGACTCCTGAACACAAGTGATCTGCCAGCCTCAGCCTCTCAAAAGTCCTGGGATTACAGGCATGTGACACCGCACCCAGCTTTTTTCTTTTTCTTTTTCTTTTTTTTTGTAGAGACAAATCTTGCTTTATTGCCCAGGCTGGTTTTGAACCCGGGGCTTCAAGTAACCCTCCTGCCTCCCAGAGTGCTGGGATTACAAGTGTGAGCCACCGCACTTGGCATGTATTAAGACTTGAACTTCATGACCTGGAGCCTTTAGGTATCTATTAAAAAGAGCTATAAAAAAAGCATAAGAAAACAAAATTATTTTTACAGATGCAAATAATTTGTTTTTTTTTTTTCTCTTCGTTTGTCGTTTTGCTCCTTTTACAAATTCTTAGTGTATTATCTTGTTTTTGGGCCATTTGGATTTGGATTTTTGTTTTTTTCCCCTTTTTTTTTTTTTTTTTTTAATTTGAAGACAAGCTTTCACTCTATAACCTAGGCTGGAGTGTAGTAGCACCATCATGGCTCACTGCTGCCTCAACCTCCCCGGCTCAGGCAGTCAAGCACAGATGTGTACCACCACACCTAGCTAATCTTTTTTTGTAGAGACGAGGTTTCGCCATGTTGCCCAGACTGGTTGGAACTCCTGAGATCAAGTGATCCACCCTCCTTGGCCTCCCAAAGTGCTGAGATTACAGTCATGAGCCACTGCACCTGGCCTGGATTTTTCTTAAAAGGAATTTCAATTTGTTGTTCTAAACACAGAATTTTAAAATATAACTATATTCTTACCTAGCTTAGGAGTATAGTAGATATTGATCCTACTGCCTTTTTTTCTTGAAGTGCTATAGTAATCATAATATTTTTTCTTTTCTTTCTTTCTTTCTTTTTTTTTTTGTGAGACAGAGTCTCCCTCTGTCACCCAGGCTGGAGTGCAGTGGCGCAATCACAGCTCACTGCAGCCTCAACCTGCTGGGCTTAAACAATCCTCCCACTTCAGCCACCCAAGTAGCTGGGACTGTAGACATGTACCACCATGCCTGGCTAATTATTTTTAGTTTTAGTTTTAGTTTTTAGTGATGGGGTTTCGCCATGTTGCCTAAGCTGATGATACTTATTTTAATTTTTTAAATAACACAAATAATTTTGGGATTTACTCATAAACAGTATTAAATATAGCAGAACAACTCTAACTTGCTCTCTATGACTGTTGACAGATTATTTTAATATTCTAGTTTTCATTTCCTTATCTGGAAGAAGATAGACTTGGACTAGATGGTCTCTAAATTGTCTTTAAATTCTATCAGCTTGTAAGTCTTCAGTTTGTTCAAATCAACTCTACCAATGTGTTAAACCTTATGCATATGTTTTAGTATAAGATTATTTGGTCTAAAGTAGATCAAATATTTTAGTAAGGAATCTGGATTTGAATGTATTAATAGAATATGTCATGTAGTATATTTTATTAAAGCCAAATGTAATGAATGCAAAGTTCGTTACTTAGTGTGTTTATCATATGTAAACTTAGCTTAGTTGCTACTTTAAATCCAATTATTGTCCAATACTTTTACCTTTAGAATTTTATTTGGATTTTAATGTATTGTCTTCTCTTTTGGCTTCTTGATGTTTTCATTTCAGTTGATTAACTCTCCTTTGACTTTTTATTCTGAGGTTTAGTTCTCAGTTGCCTCAGAAAACTTTTTCTGGCTTTGTCTGTATAGCAAATGATTAATGATTGTCAAAGCAAATGGTTAATGGGTATCTGCTGTTTGTCTGGTACTCTGTGCAGTATTGAAGACATAAACAAGAGAAAACATAGTCCATGACTTAATGGCAGTTAGAGTCCAGTGGTTGAACATACTTAGAAACAGCCATTACAATATAGAGAGCTGAGATACATTTAGGAGGTAGAATGAAAAGGACTTTAGGGATTAATTGGGTGTGTCATGTTAAGGGAGTGGTGGGATGTGGGATGATTTCTGGCTTCCGTGTGTATATAGATGTACACACTAATACAGGGAACATAAGAGGGACAGATTTAAAGAAAAAGATGAGTTCAGTTTTAGACATGGCTTTTGTGTTGTTTAGAACTGCACTTTTTGATACTGTAGCCACCAATTACATGTATTTATTGAGTATGTGAAGTGTGGTTATACAACTTGAGGTATGCTGTAAGTGTAAAATATACACCGGATTTTGAACATGTAGTATAAAAGGAACAAAAATATCTCAGAAATAATCTATCTTGATTATATTATAAAATGATACTGCCAGATTGTGTTTAATAAAATATCTTAAAATAAATTTTACCCGTTTATTTTTAAAATATGGATACAATAAATTTTAAAATTACATATATGGCCTGCATTATATTTTTATTGGAGAGTACTGGTTTAGAACATGAAGGTAGGTCTGGATGGAGATAAACATTTTGAAATTATTGATGTATGAGGAGTGGATTGGAAGAAAGGATGTTAATGCCATTGTTCACAGAGTCAATCTCCAGAGAGAGTATAAGGAGTAGGAACAAAGGGGGAGTTAGATCAGATGGACATACCAGCATTAAGTGGAAGAGGAGATAAAGAAGAGTCAGTAGAATTCTGCCTAGAGAGAACTGAGAACGAGCAATATCACAGAGAGGATGAGCTTTATTTAGCAAAGAGGGAGGAAGAGTATCAAATGCTGCACAGAGGTGAATTAAGAACCTTGCAAGAGCAGTTTCAGTGGAATCAGGTTAGAAGGTAAATTGGAACAAAGAGGCAAAAACCAAATGTGAAAAATGGTTCTGTACTAGTTTTGAGTATGACAGAAAGGAGCAGTGTTTAACTGTTAACTGACTTGGTAGGTGAGGAGATCCAGGGAAACACAGTCAAAGGAGGAGTTTTTAAAGATGGGAACTGTGAGATTACTTCAGAATTTCCAGTAACATTAATTCCTAATTTGAGGTCTTAGAGAGATTTGACTTAAGATTATATCACCTGTATGATTCTCATTTTGCCCCAGTTTAACCTTTTTTGTCTTATATTTTATTCATTTAGGAAAGAATCTATAAGGAGGAATGGCTGTATATATGTGAAATATAAATTATTAATGTTATGCATGTAAATTTTCCCCTGTCATTAAAATTACCTTTTTTTTGGTTAAGTAACCATACAGAAAATAATTTTGAAAGATACCTCAGTACTAAAATTTTCAAAGTAAATAAAGTCTTCCTGGACATGGTCTTTAGCAAGTTTGTACTAAATTTTATGAAAAAGTAATGCTTTTTGCACCAAAAATGTAAGAGTAACTCCTGCCAGAACCACATTTTCAAACACCATACATAATTTCCACTTGGATGTCTTATAAACAGCTCATACTAAACACATTCCAAACGGAGTTCCTGATTTTCTTCCCACCAAGACCTGTTCTACTCATAGACTTTCTTAATTCAAATGATGGTGGTCCTATCCTTCCACTTTCCTAACTGGTCTTCTTAGACCTACTCTTGTGTTTGTCAGTCTCAGGTAGCTTAAAGTAGGAACCAAAGCAATTATTTTAAAATCTAAATCAGATCATGTTACTCTTCTGCTCCGTATCTCCTGTAAAATTGCCCCCTT